CTTTTAAGCATTCTACTAAATGAATAAATTGTTCCAGCATTCTTAAGGTCACCAAGCACTGACTTTATTCTCATATGACTTCATTTTCATAATAATAATAAAAAATGTGTGGCCCTATTACTCCATTGTAGATACTGGAGCTAAACCCAAATTATTGTTTTCTTTATTTACGTTTACCCTTTTAACTGTGAATTTATTCTTCCAGTAAAAAAGACGTGTAAACACATCCCGAAGCATTTTAATTCCGACATGAAACTGATCACTTTGGTAACGGGTGAGCACGTGGTCACGCAAACCTACGTGAAGCCGACATCAGGCGAAKGCTGGACCGTCTCATTTCGCAGCAGTTTTGAGCATCCTACCCAGCCCAGCAAGGATGTGGCCTACGTGGCCCAGCTAGGCTGGGTCCTCATGAGGACTCAGCCCATGAATTGAGACACAGCCATTGTGTCCTTGGGCAAGATACTCAACCCCAATGCCTCTGATGTGTGTCCCATCAGTGTATAAATGTGATTGGCACTGATTAGTCTCCATAGATGATTGTATATGTTAGCTTTGTAGGAGATCTGGTAGAGTGCTGTGTRAATGGGTAAATGAGGGCACAGATTGTAGTGTGAAGCGCTTTGAATATCCTGGTTGGGTAGAAAGGTGCTGTACAAGTACAGTCCATTTACTTTAAAAGATGGTTCAAATAATTAGAGTGGGTTTCTGTGGAAACATTATAAACAACTGACACCTTGCCTGTTGGAGGTAGCTCTTTGACTAGTCTCAGGTTCAAAAACAGATTTTTATTTAAATCAGACTGACAAGTCAACTACAAAACCCAAAATTTCAGTGTTTGAATGAACCACTATAAATTATTTGACCTTTGAGTTGCTTTAAAATAACAGCTGTACAGTTTGGTCTTGGTCCATCTCAGTCTAGCTGTTAGCTCATCAGTCTGGTCAGAGGATGTTCAAAAAGCTGTCAGGTTCTCCTGATGGCCAGCCCCATACAGTAAGATTTCAGGTGGCCCCCGTTGTGCAAATTTCTAAATCTCACTGCCAATTTACATACATTTACATATCAAGTTAAATGTTTTGTCTTTGATATTATTGTTTTTTATCTTTAGAAACCAGGTTGTCTAATTATAACAGTTAACAATATAATTCATTTGAAACAGAATAACAGAAGTCTACCTCATACCTGCCACCATCTGCTGACCGCAATGAGGAGGGTTATACTTCCTTGAAAAAAATCTGTAAAAGATCTACTCAGAGCATTTTATTAACAAAAAAAAATCTGTATTTTGTTAAGGTGCACCCTAGATGGACGGCACACTTATGCCACGGGTCGACCCTGCCTGAACCGTTCCACCAAACACCCATTTCAAAATTTATGAACTTTCAGTTTAAGTTCAGGAGTTCATGTACGTGGACTTGAACCTGTATGATTTTAGTTGAAATCTTTCAAACACTCGTGGCTGACAAAGTTGGACTGTAAATTATTTCATGAGCAGTTAGAACTATTCTTTTTCAACAAGGTAATCAAACATAATTTGCATTGATGATCCTGTGAAAATGTCCCAGTTAACATTTTTATTGGATGAATTTGTCTTGTTTTTGGAAGCATAGCTTCATAAGAGTTTTGAAAATGTTCCTACTGATGAATGTTAAATAACAGACGAAAAGGCTCTGTGGTTAAGGAGGAAAAAATAAAACTGAMTAAAAAACTAAACTACAAATGGATCTTTCCTGTCTG